CTAAACCCTAAACCCTAGACCGGAAAGCCTTCCCTCAACCCTAAACCCTAAACCGGAAAGCCTTTAAGGCCCCCAAAAGAAAAACCCCCCAGGTCGAGGCCAACTCCACCGCCGTCCTCGGGGAGCTGGTCTCTGCCATAGCAGAGCTGGCCCCTGAGTTCGCGACCTCCATCGAGGAGGGGACCTGGATGGGTTTTGAGAGGTTTGTGGGGTTTAGCTTCGGGTTTTTGGGGTTTAGCTTCAGGTTTTCGGGGTTAGGTTTTTGGGGGTTTAGGTTCAGGTTTTTGGGGTTGAGGGTAGAGAGTTGAGGGTTCATAGATTCATAGGGTTTAGGACAGCAGCCCTTGGCACTGAGACAGTTGTACCGATCTGCTGCGTAAGAGAGTCCACTTCTTACCATGACCGGGATCATAGCTGGTATGTCAGTCTCCTGATGATTCCTGGCATCTTCCAGCCCTTAGGGATCTGCTGATGACCCTACTCCCTAACAGAAGTGGCTCAACGTAAGAAGCTTGCTCTCAGCACCGTTACCACAGATACCAGGGTTTCCAGTGGGGTGTTGGTCACGTTGCGCCCCTTGAGGAAGTGGATATAACAGCGTACAGTGCTGAGAGCTCGCTGACTTCTTCAAGGGGTCCGCAGACCGAACCTTCCACCACCATCTTCTCGAATTCTACCTCGGAGGAGTTGCTCTCAGCAGATGTCACGGAGAGCACCACCACATTTCAGGCTGAAATGGACGCTCTTAGCTCCTCCAGCCAGCAGCACGGAGCCTTTTTTTGGATGGCTCTTTTCGCAATGGTGTACCATGCCAAATGGCGATGAAGTTCACCGTGTGGCTGCAATCGATGTCCGTGTACAGATGCTTTGGCTGCTTAGATTGCCAGCAGGGTGCTGCGACGTGCTTCTTGTACATCTGCTGCGTCCTGCAGCCAGACCCGCCGGCTTCGCCTCAAGGCAGCGACAAGGTTTCCAGAGGCTCTGCTGGAAGGTGAGGCGTGCCAGGCAGTTGTTGGTCAAGCGGAACAGAGTACTTTTAGTCTGCGAGTGTTGCTTCGATTGAATCCAACAGTACACCTAAACCCTAAACCCTAAACCCTAAACCCTAAACCCTAAACCCTAAACCCTAAACCCTAAACCCTGCCCCCGCAACGCCTGACCTTCCAAAGCGGACAGCATCCTCGCTCGGGGCGGTCACTCACACGTCAGTGCAACTCCGAGCATCGATGTTTCTGAAACCCTCGTGTGCAGAAGCAGGGCCTTGCTTGCATTTATTCATATAGAAGCCTAAAAAATTACCAATATTATTTTGGTGGTTCCTTATAATTATCATTATTAGTATACTGGCCCCAAAACCCTATTCAAATTATTAAGGCCCCTGTAATTTGTTCATCCCGTCCTCATCTATCTCTGCCTCATGTGCGCGGCATTGATACCCACGTCACTGCCTGCTATGCCTTACCTCATATGTGTGTATGATCGATTGAGTATCAATGCGTGAGTGAGATAACGAAAACGAATGAAGAAATGAATGCAGACATGAATGAATACATGGAGATGGATGAACAAGATGTGAGCGCTACATGAGCCTGTGTATGTACGTGTATATGTATGTATAATTGCTTGGAGCGTATGTATTTGTGCATGGAGCAGTCTGCACGTCTATGTCTGCATGCAGGTCTCTAAGTCTGGCTGTGTGCATCTGTTTACTGTAGTGTCATGTAATGCTGTGTTATGTTATGTTAAGTTATGTTGTGTTATGTATACATGTTGGTACACGTGGTTTGACCGTGCGTGTGTGCACGGTGTATCTATGCACGAGCGTGATTGGATGGATGCGTAGATGTGCAAATATGTATGTATGTGATGTAGCTGCATATGCCACGTTTTTTTCTCGGTGCTTATGTACGGTCATGTATGTACATCTGCATCAGGATGATTGAAGCTTTGCTCAAATTGCCAGGTCTTGACGCAGTTTTGTGGCTCGAAACTTTTCGCTTTTTCCGTTTCTTCTCCAAGGAAGGGACGGGCGGACAGTGAGGGATTAAAGGGTCCGGCATGGGATCGGATGTAGCGTGAAAGATCCTGCCCCCTAAACCCCCGCATCCTGAACCCTAAGCACTGCATTCTCGAACCTAAACCCGCCCCTAAGCCCTAAACCCTAATCCCTGAGCCTGAGGGACTGCAACATCGTGTTTTTGTATGAGGCTCTAGGTTAACTGTAGCCATAGTTGTCAATACTGTCAGGCGTAAGATGAGTTCTATGGAACACAGGAAGTGCAATGACAGGTGAGTGGCTTAAACTGCTGTTTAGATGCTTTTGGATGCTTTTTAGATGCTTCGGTTTTGATAAGTTGTGATGCAGCATTTGGCTTCAGCACGGAACGCACAACGCGACAACGCCCATCGAGCAGGCACAGTGGTCCACTTGATACTCTGTGATTGAATTCAGTAGACTCCGACCCGATGTGGTGACCTATCAGGATTCGGCAGCTCAAATGATAGCCGCTGCAGTTGGTGATTGTTTCATAGCCTAGTACCTGCGACACCCATGGCGAGTTCGCAAGTTTCGAAGTTCACGCTGTGCGTCGTTGTCGGACTGCTAAGTGCCTGCGGTCTTTGGGGTTTTGTGGTATTTGGCTCTTCTGCTTCCAGACCTTTGCCAGCCGTTCTTCGAGATCCGTGGCTGCACCAAATCCTTCACCGATTCAACACCCTTGCCCAAAGTTTGTCATGTGCGCCGAGGGGAAGGGATCCAAAATCCTCAGTGACCCTAAACCCTAAACCCTAATCTGTGGGTGTAGGGTTTAGGGTTTAGGCTTTCAAGGTTTCAGGGTAGGGTTTAGGTTTGCTGTTTCCTTACACACAAAACCCTAAAGCCTTTTTGCTTGCGTGCATGTTTGTACCGTTTTCCCGAAAGCTCTGCGAAGGGTTCTTAGGAAAAAGTCGCTGCCTGCTCACACTACACACATGCTTACCTTACACCCTCTACGCTGACTTCCATGCACTTGACCCTCCACATTGACTTACGTGCATTTGCCTGCTGCACTTGCTTGCTTACATGCTTATACCATCTCTTGCGTGCTTACTTGCCTCTACACACATTCTTACATGCACGCTCACACTACACACATTCTTACATGCACTCACACTACTTACTTGCCTCTAGAAACACTCCTCTTACTAAAAATACCAGCCGAATTACATTCCTATTATTTAACTACCAGCCTAATCAAACTCTTATTATTCACGTACCAGCCTAATTAACTTCCTGTTATGTAAATACCAGCCTAATTTGATTCCTGGCACACCTTAGCACGATGAACCCTCCACAAGGATCCTGGGTGTCGCGGGCGCTGTGGTGCAGTGCACATTTTCAATGTCCCCGATGAGCCCTCTACAGGGATGCGTGTCGCGGCACTGCGGCTGTGGTGCGGCGCACATTTTCAACTTCGCCGATGAACCTTCTGCAGAGATCCTGCGTGTAGACGGCGAGGTGTGGGTTGGAGGGCACGCTCCGAGCTGCTTTCGTGGCAAGAGCGCACGGGCGTGAGGTCTGAGATGTTTTTTTGTGGATGGGTGCCTGTGTTCGGGTCGCTCTCGGTGTGCGTTTTTATAGTTCTTGGACACCAGGTGCGCCGATTCGAAGGCATTATGCCCCGATGCTGGAGATATTGCGGAGCTGAGGCTTGTCGCAGAGGACGTGCCGGACTCGAACCAAGTCGCAGAGGAGGAGGAGGAGGCACGCGGGTTGGATCCTCTCGGGGAGCAGGCGGTCTCGCGTGTGGCACATCCGGAATCCGGATCTCAGTATGGCAAACAAGTTGGATTCAATCGGGCAACTCTTGGATGCGACACCGGCCTTTTCGGGCTTGCGTGGCCGAAGCTATTGCTGGCAGGGTCCTCCGGCGCTTCGCGGATGATGCGGACGGGACGTTGCGTGCGTTCCCGTGAGGCTGTGTGGATGCAGCTTTAATGACTTTGTGGAGCTCCGCGAACATGTAGTGGCGGAACATGTTTCTGTCCGTGCAAACGATTCCGTTCGTGCATACGTGGAGTGTCGGAAAAAGGTCTTGGGTTTGTTGCCCTACCTCGGCCCGCGGGTTGCTGCTTGGTTGCAGCGTCGTGCTGAGTCCGTTTTCGGTTGATGCAGGGTCGTGGTGTTTGTTATACATGTGGCAAGTCGATGGTTGCGCGAGGCGGTTTCCTGGATTTTGCAGCGAGGGTTTACTCCAAAGTTTGATGAGGAGCTTCGCGCGCCCGACAAACCTCGCCGGCCTGTGTAGTTGTCGGCCGGTGTTGTTTGCGCTCGACTTCTGTGGAGAGAGACGCTGTCGCGGCTAGTGCTGTTTCTCGATCCGGAAGGCGACGAAGAGTTGCCGAAGGAGCCCTGCGGTAGTAGTGGTGGTGGTAGTAGTAGTAGTAATCGT